GCCCAACAGACCCCGCCCCAGCCCGGGGCCCACCCCTAACGCAACGGACGCCACGCCCCGTCAGGTCCCGCCTCCACCAGCCGCCCCAGCCGAGGCCGCGCCCCCATGGCCCCGCCCCCACGCCGAGGCCACGCCCCTATACCGTCCCGCCCCAGCTCAGAGGCCGAGAGCTCTGCAACGGCAGGCTCAGTCCTGCGTCCCTGTCCCTTCAGGCCCCTATGGACACTCACCCACACCAGCTGCTTCCTCAGCCCTTGAATGGCCCTCGCATTGGCCTGGGACTGGGAGATGCACACGGTCAGGACTAGGCTGCGGGCAGGCGGGGTTCAAGGTCAGTCAACCCTCCTGCAGCCACTCCGCCTCCTTGATTTCCTCCCTCCTCACCCCAGCCTCTTGAACTGCTGTCCTGGGGTCGTGGCTTGCTCTCTGACTGCCAGGGGCATGCGCACTCGCCAGAGACAAAGGTGCGCCTGTGCATGCACGCACGCATGCACGCACACTCCGCAATGGGGCATGCAGGGCATGGTCACAGGGCGATACCTTTTCCTCCAACCTGTCAATATTTGGGGCATTAGGCAGGGGCACCCCAGTAATTTCCAAGCTGCCAGGACCGCTTATGGCCCTGCGTATGCCATGCGGTTCCCGGTTCCCAGTGCGCAGCCTTCAACACAGAGGTGGGGCCGGCCCCTGGGGCTTGCTTTCTTTCTTTTTTCATTAGTTTTGTTTCTTATTCCCCTGGGGTCTTGTCTCTGCACATCACTTTATCTGAAGACCCTCTCCCTCAACAAGCCTTCACCCCCTCCTCTAGCGAGAGGGTACAAATGCCTCAGCAGCTTTGGCTTGGAGACCTCTGCACCAGGCTCTGGGATGTGCAGTCCCTCCAGGTGGGGCCCAGGTGCCTAAGGCCTGCCACCTGCCTCTGGGGCCCGTGCTCCATCCGGGGCCTCTGCTCCCCTTGGCTTCCTGACTACTCCTGGGTCCCGCGAGACTGGCTGGGGTGCTGAGGCCTAGACCACCCCACGGGCCTCCCTCCGTTGGTGCCTGTCCTAAGAAGCACCTGAGCAGGACGAGGAGGGGGAAGCTGAAGGCGTGGGAGCCCAGGTACTGGAGGATACGTTGGCCCGTGGGTGGGAGCCGGAGGGCCACCAGCTCTGGGACCACCTGCCAGGGGGCCGAGTAGTTGGTGAAGAGGCCGCAGTCCCAGGAGGAGTGGACACTGGAGAGAGAGGGCGGCAGGGGCTGGAGTCGGGCCCATGGCAGCTGCCCCCCCGCTCCCGGCCCCCACCTGTCCACACCTGCTGACCACATAGCCCAGGGGCCCCGCAGCCAGGAGCAGGCCCAGCAGGAGCACCAGCTGGAAGAAGAAGGTGGAGCTGGAGGCGCGGAAGAGCCGTGGGGACGCCCTGGAGTTCCTCAGGAGGGTGTACTGGGGAGCGAGCAAAGGGGTGCGGACATCAGTGCAGTCCGCAGACCTGCAGTGGCGGCGGGCAGCACTGGGCAGGGCCCACAGGCCTCGAGCCCAGCTCTCCCTGGCCCCGGCTCCCTCCCAGCCAGAGACCTCACCCTCTTTATGTAGAAGGTGAGGAAGATAAAGATGCCGTTGAGGAGGGGCAGCAGGGGGCAGTAGAAGAGGCCCATCCAGGTGACCGTCTGCCCTGTCACAATGTCCAGCACGTTCTTGGGTACCAGGAACTCCTCCCGGCCCAGCCAGGCCCAAAAGCGGCCTGGGAACCGGTCCACCAGCAGCCTAGGAGGACGGGAAGGTCCAGGTCCCCACCGTGTAAGAGGCCTGTGCGAGCCCCGCGGTCACGGCCACAGGCCGTCACTTGCCTGTTTGGTCCGTGGTGGTCGCTGTTGTGCCCAGACACCCCCTGCACATGCCCTGGGCTCACCTCCGAGGTAGGCTGACGAGGAAGGTGAAGGCCACGGTGAGGAGGAAGTTGAAGATGCCCAGCTTGTACATCTCCTCTCCCACGGCGTTCTCCCAGCACTGGGTGCAGAGAGGGGCCCCATCATGGCTGCGCCCTCGGCCCCCTGGCCCCCACCTGCTGGTATTGGAGCTGGGCCTGGAGTCCGACCTGAGAGCTGGAACCCGCTTTGAAAATAGGGCCAGAGCAGGGAACCCATAATGTGGCTACAACCCTTCCTGCGGCTTCTCCCGGAGGTGAGACCCAGAGGGGGACAGGGACACCAAAGGGCCATGCCAGGGCTCTGCGGAGGGAGACCTGGTAGTCGCAGGCGTTGTAGCCATAGGGCTCGCAGCTGGTCTTCTTGGTGCCCACGCACAGCATGGTCTGCCCCAGCGAGAAGGAGAACATGGCCAGGCTGGCCAGCTTCAGCACCACGCACCTGGGGACGGGGCCGATCAGGGAGGGCCCAGGTGTACAGTCCCGTCTTGTCCTGGGCCCCATCCTTTCACGCTGCTCAGTGTGCAGCTACGTTCCCAGAACTGGTCTCCGCAAGTCTCGTGGAGAATCGGTTCGGGAAACGGTAAGCACTGCACAGTCCAGCCACCCTGCCCCACCTGCATGGGATCAGGACAGCCCTGCAGACCTGTGACCTGCCGGGATCCACTCCTCTCAGCCCGTTCACATCCTGGCCCGCGCACATGGTCGCGGTCAGAACCACACGCCACCCCTGCTTGCTGGACGGTGCCCAGTGCACGTAAGGTGGTGGCCCACACCGAGAAATGACAGGCAGGTTCTCTGGGAGGGTGGGCAGCTTGGTGCTGGCGTGTGGTTGGGGACAGTGGCTTTCCTACTGAGAGAGGCTGGGAGGCTGGGTGGGTGGGGCTTTTTTTGTAATGATCATTTCGATTTTTATCATGTTATAACCTATTGACAATAATGATTCAGAGCAAACCAGACCCAGCTGACGTCTGAGGAAGCAGAGAAGCAGGCAGGGCTGAGTGGGGCGAGGGGCAGGACGGGACGGAACCCACGGGCTGCACATGAAGATTTCAAGGGCGCGGGATCAGAGAGGAACTAGGGTCGGGAAGGCACCTGAGAGCTGAGACAGGAAATGGCAGAGCCTGGGGTTGGGGGGGCTTGCATGTGAGTCTGCACCCAGCAGGCATTGCGAGCTTGACCGTGGCTGGAGTGAACCCCCGTTCATCTGTGCAGTGGGCATGGGTGACATGAGGGCAGTGGAGCTGTGTGTCCAGTGTTAAGCTGGTTCCCAATGTGCCCTGGCTAACAGACACTTGCCCCTCGGAATGGCTGGTGCTTGGCCGGACTGCTGGCTTCCCCTGAGGCTGGGGGCCTGGAAAAGCGTAGACCTGGGCCCCTGAGGCCATGTGTTCCAAAGGGCCCACATGCAGAGGGCATGACGGGAGTCTCCCAGCTTGGGACCCTGGTGCCAGGTGACCGCCAAGACAGAGCAGCAGAACTCAGACTCTCCTGCGCCTATCCCCACCTCGGCCCACTAAGGTGGTGCTCACCAGACGAGGGTGAGGTTGACCTCGGTGCTGGGAGGGTAGTTCTCTTGCTGGACCAGGAATACGAACAGCAGGGGACCCAGGAAGTTGACCAGGGCGATGACACCTGGGGGCAGGTACTGGAGCAGCACAAACAGGGGCTCCTGTGGAGAGAACACGGTGGGACCACGGGCTGGAGAGCCTGTCGTGCCCTCACCCCGATGCCCCTCAGGTGTACCCTGCTGTGAGCGATCCGGAAGCCGCCGCTGCCAGTGGAAGCGTGGCGGTCAGCGGGAATGCTGGTCAGGGCCAGTCCGGCCGGCTGTGACCTTGGAGCCAAGGCCGCTTTAGCCTCCCTGGGCCTCCGTGTCCTCAGCTGCCAAGTGGGACCATTCTGTCACCATCCACAGTTCTGGCTGGTACCTCCTTGTTGTCCTGCGAGTACTTGGTGGCCCAGAAGATGGCGCTGATGGCTCCAGCCACCAGGAGCCCCATGAGGACATTGACCCGCAGGTAGGTGATCAGGTGGCAGACCCTCTGGGAGCGGGACTGCTGTTGCTTCTGCAGGAAGCGCTGGGCCTCCTGCAGCTCCACCTGCCAGGTGGGCAGAGGCCAGGTGAAGGCAGGGTGGCAGGGTGGGGGCAGGGCAGGGCGCCCGAACCGCGCTATAGTCATGCACTCTCACATACGTGGGCGCGCACACACACCCTTTCATGCACGCTCACTCTTGCACACACCTTGAACTCGTTGCTGATCTCATGCTTCTTGATGGTGGCCGCTTCCTGTACCCGGATGCAGAAGTCCCAGGAGGAGAAGACCTTGGCACTGAGAGGCGCCCTGTAGCCCGGACCCAGGAGGGGCTTCTGAGGCAGCCCCTTCACCATCCTGGAGGGGTGGGGAAGGAGGCCAGGGCTGTTGCAGGAGAGGCACCTCCATCCACCAGCCTCAGCTGTGGCTCAGCTCTAGGTCCAGGGTATGAAAGGCCTGGCAGTCCCAGGTGGGGAGACAGAGGCAGGAGCTCCCACTCTGCAGACAGGATGTGTTTGAACTGAGAAATGACTGGGAGCCTTGCTGACAGGGGCCAGGGCCTTCCTGCCACCTTGGGGATGCCCTGCCAAGGGAGGGACGATCAGGGAAGACTGCCTGGAGGGGCTGGGCTGTGCTCTCACCGCTGCAGAGTCCCGCAGAAGCAGAGGAGCAGGCAGGCCAGCGGGCTGAGGAGGTAGGCCAGGCGGATGCTGTATGCGGAGCTCCTCTCGGGCCCTGCCCGGTACCCACCGTAGAACAGATAGGTGTTGTTAAAGGCCTGGGGACACGGATGAAGACAGCTGAGCGGGGCTCGGTGCTGCGCGCTGCTCTGAGATCCATGCCTTAACTCACCAACCCCTTCACAACCCCATGGTTACGGCACTGGACTCCCACGTACTCCAGCACGGTTTGAGTCCCAGACTTGGCGGCTTAAATTCACACTGGGCACATATGTGTATGTACTCAAGATCCCCAGAGCTGGGGGACATGGGGCCTCAGCCTCTCTCTGACCACCATTTCATCGGCCCCACCAGCCTATCCATGTAAAACTGTCCCGCAGGGGCCAGCAGGTGGCATGGAGATTAAGGTGGCTGGATTCCACATGGCCAATGTGCAGCTCAAGTCCTGGACCCGGCAGCTCAGAAAGCACACCGGGCGTGTGAGCATGGGTGCCCGAGACCCTACCAGGAGGAGAGATGGAGAAGGGACTGTGGCCTGGCCGGCCCCCCTGGTGGTTCACTTTCCCTCTCTCCCTCCCTCTGGTGAGTGACATCCTACAGTAAAACTAAAACAACCCCCAAAACTGTCTCCCAGAAGCCAAAGGCCTTTGGAGGTTCTTTCAGACTGGGGTCCCCTAAAGCCGGTTCCCTGGAGCTCCCAGGCCCCCTGGACCATGGCCAGGATAGACCCCCTCACCCTGCCAGTTAAAACATTCCAAAGTTGATTGTGGAACTTCGGAGCTCCAGTCTGCGGTCCGTGGCTGCGGGGGCAATGCAGGGCTGTGGAGGAGGGAGGGGACAAATAGGAGGGTCCTCAAGGCAGAGGGGAGGCTGCCCCTAGCACCCTTAGCCCCACCCTGGGGAGGTTTGCGCAGGGCACTGAGGCACCGCGCCACGGAAAAGGCGGGTCAGGGAAGCCCCGGGGGTGGTGGGCGCAGACATGAAGCTGCCCCCAGGCTCTGGCTCGCCCGGACTCTTTGGCGCGGGTGGGGGGGGCGCGTGGGGAGTCTCCTTTCTGGCCGCGCACTCACTCAGGTTGAGGGCGGGGCCTGGCGCAGGGGGGCGGAGCCAGGCCAGGGGCAGCAGCACGAAGCCGGTGGTCAGCAGCAGGGTGAGCAGGTTGAGCAGCAGCAGGAAGCGCAGGAAGGTGAAGTAGGACTGGATTCCCGTGCCAAAGAGGCCTGTGGGGGCAGCACAGTGCGTCAGGGGGCAGAGCAGGGCCCGGCCGAGCCTCCGAGGGCTGGCCAGCCGGCGGCGTGGAGGTGCCCGGCCGGCGCCATCCGCAGGAGTCGCTTCAGTGGCAGCGTCCAGAGGCCTCCCTAGCAGTTCCTCGGCCAGTCACCAGGGGGTGCTGTCGCCCGCGGGGGCTCGCACCTGGCTGTGCCGGCGCGGGGGGGGGGAGGGTGGGGGAGCTGACCCGCGGGGGCCACCCGGCAATGGCAGGCGGGATGACGCCCTTCGCCCTTCTACACGTCGGACATTAGGACTCTGGAGGCGGCGGCGTGCGAGTCCTACCCCCGATCTCGTAGAGCGCGCCTTCCCAGAGCCCGAAGCCGCGGGCCAAAAAAAAATGCCTGGAATGGGCGTGACGACGGGCACCCTGAGCCTCCCGCCTGCGCCCCCGGTGGGCTCCACCCCTCCCCACGGGCGCGCCCTCCCGCTGCGCCCAGGCCCGGCCTCGCACCC